CGTAACAGAGAGGCCGTTGAATCGTTGTCACAGTCGTTTCAACAAAGCAAAGAGGTGAGGAGCCCATCGGACCGACCAAACTTAGCTTGGAGGGAGCATGCCATGCCACCAACTTGGCGAGCGAAACGTTGGGGGTTCGGGGGCTGGGGACAAGAATGGAACCAGTGTTATGGAAATCGGATCATATTCTCGTCCAAGATGGCGGTCTTGGACTATCTATTAAACCACGACCTTCAATATTTAAACACCAGCATGCCGTCATAAGGCTAACCCATCCTGGGTATCTCATATCCGTCAAAGGCCCCAAACTTTTACACATGTACAGAGAATCATGCCCAGACCGTGGTCAGGACATATCAGCAGGATATCAAAAGGAAAAGAACACCTCACATCAAAATCAGCACCCCGGGTAGCTACCGCCTGGTAGGATTAACATTCCCCTAGCCGTATCATAACCCTAAGTCGTGCGCAATCATTAAGCATCGATCGCTCCAAACCCTGAAACTCCTCCATGACCGTGAACAGTTGTTGCTCAGAGAAGGGCAGCAGCGAGGCCAGCAGCCAGCATGAAGCCAGCCGCGGTTTCGCGAGCACCCATGGCGCTGCTTGAGCTAGAGGCACCGGTCGGCTCACCGCCCGAGCTAGTGGAGGAGACAACCTCGGTGGTGAAGGTCGAGCTGCCAGTAGTGGTCAGGAAAGTCGACGAACCGCTGGTGACAGTCGAAATGAGAGCCGAGGTGGCGGTGGTAGTCGACGGGGATGCAGAAGCCGACGAGGGAACGACGATGCCACTGACACCAGAGATCGTGGTGGTTCCAGTCACGGTCTCGACAACGGTGCCGCTGGTGACAACCGAGGTGTAAACGCTCGTAGTAATCGCGGCAGAGGCAGTGGCGCCGGTGGCGCCAGTACCCGAGGCACTGGGGGTGCCAGTGGCAGCAGCGGTACCATCGACAGTAGCGCTCTGTAATATGCTGTCAGTTAAGTCGACCTTGTGGTCTTCGTTAGATGTTTCTTACCCCGGTGGTGACGAAGGGAGCAGCGGCTCCAGCGCAAACTTGGGCGCCCCAGTTGAGGGCTTCCTCCGTGCCGCTATCACCACAGTACTTGCCGCAGTCGGCGAGACCCCAGGCGAAGTTGGGGTTTGCACAGCGACACTTGAGGTCACCAGCGTCGCAAGGAAGATTGAAGGGCGTCGAGGACATGGCTTCAGCACAGGCTTTCTAAAGGGTACAGTTAGGATCGATAAGGAACTCCTCTGAGTATGGGTATATCGCAACTTACGACGCAGTCAGAGAGGCCGTCGGTCGAGGCCTGAGCACCGACGAGGGCGGCGCCGGCGAGAGCGAGGATGGCGGTGGTCTTCATCTTTATTGAGTCTAGGATAGGTATCGAATCGGTACGGGTCCAAGAGGTGCAGAAAAATGTTGGTGTAGGGGCAAAGTAGGTTTGCTTGGTAGGTGTGCTTGGTAGGGTTGTTGGTGAAGGAGGAAGTGGGAGATTTATGCAGCACGCGCAGAGAAATTGGTTTTGGGGTGTGAGGTGAAGCAGAGAGAGGCAGAGGCCGCAGCCAAAGGCAAGCGCGAGGACTTATATTGCGAGACAGGTACGACAGTAGACCCCACGACAGCAAACTTGATGGGTCGGGTGGGATAACAAGGCAGGAACGAGTGGAGCCGCAGGTCTAGATGAAAACGGAAAGGGCCAAACAGAGGTGGACTCTTTAGACGATCTGCCCACTTGCTGGCGCCATGAATCTGGAAATTGCACTCACCGGGCAGGTACTTCCAAGCACATCGTCTGTGTCGTACACCCCTTGCTTCCACTGTTGCTGCTGTCGTCTCTCGCTACTTTGTTGAATGACGGAGGCCGCAGTCCACAGGACTTGCGTCTAGGTTTGCAGCTCTTGTTGCGGGAAAGACAGCTCGGGATGCACAAGCTAGCAGTTAGCAGGGAAGGGCTTTGCAGATTCGTGGCAAGGATCTCTATCTCCTCGGTCTGCCACATCACGAAGCGACTGCAGGTGGTGCTCAGTGGTGACAGCATGGTGTGTCCACCGTGCTAGTGAATGCCACTGAAGTCGTGCCTGGCGCTGGATTAATTGCTGACACATCTCGCCTTTTGCTCTGCCGAGGCCTCGAGAATTACGATCTAAGCCCTTGAAATGTTTTACGTAGTCTGGAGAACCTGTATCAGTCCCTCTTCACAGGTAGGTCTTGCGCTGATGCTATGAGGAAGGAACGCAATATTTTGTAAAGAACTGGTGCAGCCACACGTTTTGGGTGTCCGAGACGATTCGGGGTGGTTGGGTAGGCGGACAAGCTACTGCAAAGCAGAGCTGTTGTGCTATGGAAAGCAATTGGGTGTCGTGGCGGAGGCTTTTCGAGGCAGATTGGCCGTTGTGACGGACACGGACCATTTTTCACCGGCGTGGCCATCCTCATTTGCGCCTCTCCCAAGGGGATGGTTTCTGAACGTGAGTTCCGTGTTTCGACGGGTAGCCAAGTACCGTGGTACAGTTCTTTGGATGATCGGGCGACACAGGTCATGGCGGTCGACAATGACCGTGAGACGTTTGCCAAGGCTGTTTGGTCACTCAGCCGGGGCAACCGATGGGATGCCCTTTGCTCGATCGAGCAAGCCCGTGGGGAAGGCACTGGCCGATGGTGGGCGAGATCTCGCGGGCTCGGCTGCAAACGCAGCTTGTTATCGCGCTACTGCTTGCTCTTGCCTCTTCAAAGCAAGGCGAGAGGGAAAAACAGATGAGGTCCAAGAAGTCTCGAGCAAGGAACAGCTGCCGCGCGGGTCTTGCTGGGAGCTTGGTCGGGCAGATCTCATTCGCCAATCGCCAGATTCCTGCACAACCTAGCAAGGGCACCCCTGCCAGCCACAAACCTGGAGCAGCTGTGGGTGGAAAGGGCGGGCAAGGAACCGAGCAAGACCACCAGGCGAAAGTCGGGACGGTCAGGCACACCTGCATGGACGGCAACTATGCTGCATTTTCTGGAAAAGCTAGAGCGAGCGGCTGAGGGCTGCCGTCATGGAATTTTGTTGTTCTTCCATGCTGCCCAGATCAAGGCGGACGGATAGGCTGCATTCGTTGGGCTGTCGTCACTTTTGGCACAATCCCTGCCGGATCTTCGAACCCCGGCTTCCGCTCTTTGTCTCCACTGCAGTTTCTGATGTCATGCGAAGGCCGCAACGACCACCATCTATGCGTCATTTCCCCCGATCTTCGATTTCTTACCCTACAACCCCGCCATGAGCCCCTCTGAAAGCTCTCAGCTCGGGGCTGGATAATGGCACGAATGGATGGTGCTGCTCCATGCGACCCCACGCGTTGACTGTTTGTGTCCACCCCGACGAAAAGTGAAAAGCCCGACCTTTCGTCTCCCAGGAGACGAGCAAAATCCTCTCTGGTCCACATGAGAGTGGGGAATGGTCGGCCAGGTCCGGTAGCCGTAGGTAGTCAGCGACGTGCCGGTGTTATTTGGTGCCAGCCCTTCTTGGTGAGACATTCGCCCGCGCCATTGCTGTTTTGCGTGCAGCTCACTCGCTCGCCCACCGAAAACCCCAAGCCGAGCGCGCGTGTGCCGGTCTTGGCGGCGGCGGCGTCCGTCCAGCTGTCATTGTGAGGCGTTCTGGGGAATGTCTGATAGGAGGCCACCGTCAGGATCCGGGGATCGAACCAAATCGGCCGTCGCAACGACCTCGTCGGATTCCAGAACGCGCAAGCAGACCCTTCATTTCGGTCCCGTCTGTGGGCGATATTCAACATGCTACGAGTGCAACGGGGCCTCGGCTGCCAGCCATCGCACAAACGCCTCCTGGTGTGACGGGACAATTACCAGAGCCGTTACGGCCCCGTCCCACGTCAATTTGATGAGGGTCCGTCGGCCTCCCGCCTGCCATGTTCGCTCCCTCTGCACAGCAACTTGTTCCCCGACAGACCTGTCTGCTTTACAAAATCTGTTGCAAGACACCCCAGCCGCCTGGGTGCAGATTCAACGAGGCGGTTGACGCTGAGAAGTGACTGATCAGGTTGCCATGGGCGATCCCACTGCATCGCAGCAACTCACAGCGCCGTGAGTTTGCTTGAGCGGTGCCCGGTCTCCATCTGCGTGGGCCCGATTTGAGTTCCCTCCCCCGCCTCCCTTCTTCGCAAATCGACCAGCGCCGGGGCCGATCAGGTAACCATCCGTCCCCACCTTTCAGCGCTGCGGACCGTGGCCGGCAAGCACACCGCAGCGACCGAAAGTGTTGTTGCCCCGCCTTGCCTCACCAGGTCCGACCAGAGAAGTGATCCCATCCGTCTTTCTGCCTTGCATGCAGACCTCGATCATGACCTTTCCCCGCCTCTCTCAGACTTGCTCTGTGCACATGTAAACGCAGGCCGGGGAAACAAGACCCGTCCTGCTCTCAAAGGCAGAGACGGCCCCGGAAATAAGCCTACGCTCTCCCGGGTGCATGTCGATGCGGTTTTCGCGGAGCCTTCCAACCAACCAGGTATACAAGCTCGGTTGGCGGTGTCTCCGTTTGGCGGCTTGGATGCATACGATCTGCCCAATCGCGCAGCCTCGATGGTTCACATCCCCAAAGTCGTCGTCATCGGTTCTTGTTGCTGCGAGACCAACCTCTCTTGTTCTTCGGGCTGGTGAGTGGTCGAGCGAGGCTGGAAGGTGCTATGTCGTTCTCGTACCGCGACGACAGCGTATCCGTTTGGCGCCAGTGATGGGTCATCAATGTGCTTTCGAGAACGCCTCAAAGTGACCTTTACGAAGTGATAGCCGGTACTCCATCGTTCGTCCGGCTCGAGGAAATCCTCGAATGACACGTCCCAATTAGGTACCTTATCTGCCGACTTAGCTACCTATGACCAACGGCCCAGTCACTAGTGATACGTAGGAAAATCCTCGTGAGCGGGCGGAAGTTTGAGAGTTGCCAATGTGATTCTCAAAAGTCAAAAAGCGAGGTGAGGGGGTGGATGCAGGGGCAAAAAGTGCCTCTACTCGGAATTGAACCGAGGACCTTCGCATGTCAAGTATTTACGAGTGCGACGCTCTACCACTAAGCCACAGAGGCATTGACAAAGGTTTTGCCACCTTTGTTGAGGTTACGACCCCCTGCTACTATCACTAAGCTCCAAGGGCACCTTCCACGAGAATGATCACCAATCGCACAGGGGAGGCTCTTGTTGTCCTTCAGGGAAAAAAGCAACACAAAAAGGCTACAGCTGCGACTCCTCGAAAGTCCCCAGCCGAGGATCAAACGAGGAGCGAATGGAGGGCAGATGTATGAGGAGGCCCCCATACCACTGCACCAACAGTGGCCAACAAACTGAGCTGACCGATGGGGTAAGATTAATACCGTATATTGCTTCACTGTTTCAAACAGAAGGGTCAGCCACTTAATGTGATGATGGGAGACAACTCAGTCAGGGGCTTGAGGGTCTCAGTGGTCCACATGCACTGTGCAGTGGTGAGAACCAAAAACGACCTCGCGTGTTTGATATCTGTATGTGCTTTAGTGCCCGGAAATATTGTATCTAGAGTTATGGACCGCGAATTGCACTGGATGGTCTTGAAGTGGTGGTTTCTATACCTACTCTCAGATTCAACCCGACTATATACTGCTCTTCTCATTTTCAGTCCTCGTCAACATCCATTGCGTCCTCGTCCTTCCGGTTCCCCTTGGCTGGTGCTTTCTCTAACACCTTGATCCTCTTCATGATACCCTCCTTCCACACTTGGTACTCCTCCCTCCGCATCTCGCTCAGATAATCATACCTTTCCTGCAGCATGGTGTCCGCCCTCCTCACCTGTCCCAATACCTTCTCATCTTCGCCACCAGCCTCTTCCTCACTCTCACCTCCCTTCTCTCCCACAGCAACTAGATCCTCGATGCCCTCCACCCAGTTCATCTCCAGCCACCCCTGTCTCTTCGCATGCAACACCGCAGCATCCAGCTCCCTGGCCTTGACGTCCTCCCAACCTTCCCATCCCCCGACCTCAGCCTCCTCTCGCGCTTTTTGTAGCAATCTCACCACTTTGCCTCGCAGCTTCCCCATCTTTGCGGCGTCCATATCTACACCATTGAAAGCGACTCCTTTCCACACGAACAAGATCAATGTCCCCAGCATGGCCGAAAAATTCCCATTCACCCATTCATCCTCGACCCTCTTTCCCTGGGGCGCAACGACCGACTCGACTCCCGCCATGACCACCGGGCCTATCCTCGCCTGGTCAAGCTCCTTACACACGAACCGCACCACCGGCCTGACCCATACCGGAATCGGATCAGTGTCATCTCTCCTTGCCCTTTTCGACGGTGTCGTGCCAAGAGGGGTGTTCCTGTACTGCGAGAGTGACTTTCCTTGGGTAGGCGTTGGCCTCGACTTGTTCGCCAAAGGGGACCCGGCTATCGCATCGCGGAGCTTTGCCGAAGGTGTGCGAATCCTCCCACCTGGAGTGGAAGCGGCAGCGGGGAGGATGTGGTCAAGATGGTTGTAGAGGCGCTTGTAGATGCGTGGCGGGATCGGTGGTCGGGGCTCAATGGGCGGGAGGTTGAGTGTGATTTTGAGGCGGTCACAGGCGATATGGGCACATGCGTAGGGTCGGGAGATTTCCTCCTCGGCTTTGAGGGTGCTGGCGCGGTGGCGGGATTGGGCGAGTAAGGAGGAAGCGAGGTCGGTGAGAGGCTTTGGGAGCGTGGTTGAGTGCGATGGGATGAGGGAGTAGAGCGCTTGTTCGATTGAGCGGTTCATGTTGGGGTGTCTATTAAGAGGATGTGAGATTTGGTTGTCTAATGCGCATTGGGGCCTAAATTTTGGGCTGATATCGTGAGTTTTAGTTATGAATGGAAACCGCGATGAGATGAGACGCGACGGGTGGACAGATGGCACGCCAAGTCACGTGCTCGTCTAGTTTGCCCCCTATGGCTGGTGGCGCTCGGGGTGGCCAATCCGGGGTCGCATCATGCCAAGGCCAAGGCTGGCCGTTGTCAGCAGCTTTCCCAACGCTTCTTTCCACAAACCAACCAACACCATTTCTCCCGCTTGGATAAGAAGTGCAACTGCCGCTTCAACGAGGCAGAAGGTAGGTCTACATCGATGATGGCTCTCCACGCAAGTGGGCTGCCGGTACGTTGCTTCCCCTTTATTTTAAGCTTACGAGTCTATTTGCGCTCTGAAGCGCCGTTGTCGTCATTCCCGTCTAACTCGCGCAGGCCATCGCAGCCGCCACTTCAGAACTGTGGCCGTTCATCTCCGGCTCCCTCTTCGTTCCCTTCACTGCGCATTCCCGGACCCTTCGGACCTCGAGGTCACAGCAGACGCAGAGCGCACCACAGACCAGGGCTCTTTCAACCACCACTGCGACTGCGCCGGTCGACAGCTCCGCCGGGTCTGCTTTCCCCGCCCGCGGTCAAGCATCTCCGACGACAGCCGCACTCCCTGACTTTTTGAAGGATGCCAACGTCAGCCTGTCGCTCCCTATCATAAGTCCCAGCAAGCCTCTAGCCAGTGTATCCAACGACATCTTTACCCCGGGGGTGGCGCTGCCGCCCTTCGCAATGGCGAACCCTTTTCTCCGACGCTCGTTCCTTGCTCTGGCGGCTCGTCCTCTGGGGACGCCGTCTGCTGTGCGGTTAATGAGCACCTGTCATGCGGCTCGTCCTCTCCCGGCATTCAACACACCTCTTTTCTATCGGTATTCTCAGCATCGTGGTTTTGGCTCTGGAAACGGCGTCTCTCGTGCGGTCCTCGCTGCTCGCGAGTCTGCAGCAAACAAGAACCCCGGCAGCGCATCAGCACAGAACGGTTTCTACCAGGCTTTACTCAAGGCTAACATGCCCGCTATAATCGTGGAACGTTACAAGTCTGGTATGTGATGGTGAAGACTCTCGGTGATACTGGCTAACTAGTCGCTTAGGTCGATTCGCAACCAACGATCAGACTGCCGAAATCTACCACAAGGCCCTCGCAATGATTAATGGCGGCGCGATGCAGCCCTCGGTTCCTCTCAACACCAATGGTCTCTCCCCCACGCAGATCCAGGCGGTCGGTCAAGCCGTCGCTGCCAATACCTCTGGTGGCAACATGGCAATCTCGACTAAGGGAAGCGGGCCCGGTGGTCCCCTCCATGTCGTGGTTGATGAGACTTTTGGCACCACCTTCTTCCGATGGGTCAAGTTTATTCTCTGGTTCTGTCTTTGCTCGTACCTCTGTCTGTGCATAATAGCGATGCTGGTTGAGGCAATCAGCTCGTTCCGACGTCCCGGCCAGAAGGGCGATTTCAACGAGGTCAAGGCCGAAAACCAAAAGACGCGATTCTCCGACTACCACGGCTGCGATGAGGCCAAGGAAGAGGTCCAGGATATCGTTGACTTCCTCCGGAATCCCGATCGGTTCAACTCTCTCGGTGGCAAGATGCCCAAGGGCGTCTTGTTCGTTGGCCCTCCTGGTACTGGCAAGACGCTGCTGGCCCGCGCCGTTGCGGGTGAAGCTGGAGTTCCGTTCTTCTTTGTGTCTGGCAGTGAGTTTGATGAAATCTATGTTGGTGTCGGTGCGAAGCGCGTTCGTGAGCTCTTCGCCGCTGCCAAGGCCAAGGCTCCCTCGATCATCTTCATCGACGAACTCGACGCTATCGGTGGACGTCGTCGCTCTCGTGACGCCAGCTATATGAGGCAAACACTGAACCAGCTCCTCACTGAGATGGATGGATTCGACCAGAACAGTGGTGTCATTGTCATGGGTGCCACCAACTTCCCCGATGCTCTCGACGAGGCTCTCACGCGTCCCGGACGTTTCGACCGCCACGTTACCGTGTCCCTTCCCGACGTCCGCGGCCGTATTGACATTCTGGCTCACCACGCCAAGAAGATCAAGGCTGCCGCCGATGTCAACCTGCAGGCGATTGCATCGCGCACCCCGGGTCTCTCTGGCGCCGACTTGGAGAACATTGTCAATATTGCTGCCATTCATGCCTCCAAGCTCAAGGCCACGGCTGTTAGCCAGATACACTTTGAGTGGGCCAAGGACAAGGTCATCATGGGCAGCGAGAAGAGAAGCATGGTTATCAGCCCTAAGGAGAAGGAGATGACGGCTTATCACGAGGCTGGCCACGCTCTGGTCGCCTACTTTTCCAAGAGCAAGTCGAGCGAGCTGTACAAAGTGACGATTCTTCCCCGCGGTAACACGCTTGGTCACACTGCCTTCCTCCCCGAGATGGACCGATACTCGATGACGCTCAAGGACCATCTGGACGTCATGGATCGCGCCATGGGTGGCAAGGCTGCCGAGGAGATTGTGTACGGCGCCGACCAAGTGAGCAATGGTGTCTACGGCGATCTGGACAGCGCCACGCGCATTGCATGGCAGATGGTGGGCCAGTTTGGCATGTCGGAGAAGCTGGGTCCGGTCGAGTACCTGCGGAGATACGAGCAGTTGAGTTCTGAAACGCGTCACATGGTTGAGGCCGAGGTTAAAAAGATTCTCGACGACTCATACCACCGTGCACGCCATATTTTGGAGTCCAAGAGGAAAGAGTTGGATTTGTTGGCGAAGGCGTTGGTCGAGTACGAGACCCTCGACAAGGAGGAGGTCGAAAAGGTGTTGAGAGGTGAGAAGCTCAAAGACCGGGTGCCCGTTCCGCCTGGACCCATGACGGTACCCAAGCCGACGGAGCCGGTGGGAGAGACGGGCATTCCGCTGCCACCGGGGTTAGGCGACAAGGGGAACGGCGAGAGGCCCAATCACCCACCACCACCACCACCACCACCAGCGTCGGCAAAAGAGTCTAAGGGGCAAGAGAGGAGGTAACTAAACGCTGGAAAGAGGGAATGGTGGGCTGGGAAGGATAGCGGATGGCATTGATGGCGTCGGGAAACATTTTGAGGCAAAGATCATTCCCTCCATAGCGGTGTATAGGTAACTTTTTTATTTTGTCTTGTAACAATGCGGCTATCACGATCAATACCACTCTGACGAATGCTTTGACTACTTGCAATTGACTAACAATATTACATCCTTCTCATTGCCAACCAACCCATCACACACGTCCTTCAGGTTCACATCTCACCAAACA